ACGTCACACTTTGATCTCGGCGCTCTCCGACATCATGTTTGAACGCTCCCCGAGGCTGCAGTTTACTCGCTTCACTCTCGCCTCTTCAGCACATCGGCGCTCATCCCGCCGCCTGATGTCTTAATGTTTCCAAACGGAGGAAGAGAGGAGCAGAATTTAACACGGAGAGAGAGAGAGCGAGAGAGAGAGAGAGAGAGAGAGAGAGAAAAGAGCATGTCTGTGGAGAAATGTGGGAGGTGGTGCAGCTGTTAGATACGTACATTCATGCTGACTGTCTGTTCGTTTTTATGCAAATGTGACGCGGAGCAGTTTGAATGTACGGCTCCTGAAAGAGTTTGACATTTGAGCTGCTTTACTCTGATTTAAAGGGAAAGTTGAAGGTTAAGTTTAGACAGCAGTTAAAGGAATGACACACAGTTTGTTGAGACCGCAGCTTTAATGAAAAGCAAAATGATCGATCGTCTTTACAGATTGAAATCTTGAGGTGTACATTTTAGCATCACAGGTTACAGATAGGATTCTGATGGCATCATCACATGAAATGTTGGCGTCCCTCAGTTCTGAGCTGTCGGGACGGGGGGGTGGGGGGGGGGTGGAAGTATCTCACAGTCGATGAAAACAAACATAGAAGACGGTTGCGTTGGAGGTGGTCAGCGGAGGGTCTGTGAGGTGTTTGACCTTTTGATAATTCTGGGTGATACTTCAAGCAAAACTTGAAGGATCTTGTCGTGTTTGCTGACCGAAGATCTCATCCTTTTTGATTTCCTTTAACCTGCAACTCAAAATGAATCTTGGGTGAAGAAAAAAAATTGTGTTGAAGGTGGAGTCAAGAGAAATATTCTTAGCAGATTGTAAACAGAACATTCAAACTGGGCCCCTCCTCCTCTGGAAGCTCTCCCTCCCTGCAGGACGTAGTGTGTACGTTTACTGCTTGTACCTACACTGCAAGCTAACGCACGCTAGCACAAGCTAACCGCCGGTGTTTGTCACCTGCCTGTCCAACAGGAAGCAGAACAACTCCACGTCCACGGGTGAAAGCCAACACAAGGTTCACCCTCGTTTTAGAACGAGCTTTATCCACTTGGTGTTTCTACTCCTAAACTCACCTGCTGCACTGTCATTGGCTGGAGGAAACACACCAGCTCTGCCCAGAAACGTCCCGAGTCAACCGGAACAAAGCAGAACAGTAAAATCCAGTCAGAGGACAGAGTCTCTGCAGACACAGTCACCACCACACATGTACGGAGGCCCAGAAGGGACGATGGAGCAGCTTCACTTCAGGAGAAGTCTGTATTTTATTTTGAAGGAGAAAAAGCAGCTGACTCTGTCTTTCATCACCTCGTGTGACACCTACCACACGACACAGAAATAATCTTCCTGATGGTCTGGTTAGCTTTTTGAGGTCAGTTAAAAAACTCTCCACAGGAGCTTTAAGATGTTTTCTTAGTGTTTTTATCGGTTTAGTCAGAAGGTCCGTTTGCTTTTTCAACCAGAAGATGCTGAAAACTTTCTCCTGTCAGTCAGGTAACTCTCTCTCTCTCTCTCTCTCTCTCTCTCTCTCTCTCTCAAGGACACAAACAGTTGCACCGTCCTCCTCACTTCACTAATTGGTTTTGATGGATCTGAAGAACATGTGACGCTTCTTTGTTGAAATCTGCTGCACGTTGAAATATCCGCCCTCCTCTCCAAAGCTGCAGGATTTTAGGCATGAAGTGCGGAGACTTTTAGATCAGGGTTAGCGGAGATGGTTTGAATGTCTGTGTTTGTGTTTCCCGCTTGAATTAAAACAAACTTAATTACAGTCGATGAAGGAGAGGAAGAAAAGGGAAACTATTAAAAACCAAAATGTGTGTGGAGGGAGGGGGAGGGGGACCTTCATCTCTTGAGTTTCATGAAAGCTGTTTGTGTTTTGGGCTCTCCTCATTTGGACGTCTCCACTTTGATGCTCTCCTGCTTCACGAGCCGTGTTATGTGTTTCCTGTTTTTTACAGAGGAAAAAAAAAAGAAAAAGTTCTGTACTATTTATTGATTTATTTCTCGAGGCATGCTTAAAGGAGTTAATGACTCCTGCTACTCAGACAATCTGCACATGAAGAGGTTCGTTCCAAAATGAGACGCGTACTGTTTGAAAAGATGACGACGGATGATTGACAGCTCAAACTAGAAAGACGATTGATGTGGGTACTTTTTTTTAATAATCTTTCTACCTGCTGGATCCTTTTTATTTCAACATTAATGGTTCGGCGGAAACTTCAGGTGTTGTTTTTCTTTTTCAAATGTACGTGTTGCATTTTGGAATAATGTGCTCATGAGGTGTTGTGTTTGTACAGCGGAGTGTTTGGGACACATTAAAGAGAAAAAGGATATAAAGTCGGGAGGGAGTAAAGCAATATTCCAAGAAGAAAGTCGGATTATTTTGAGAATTAAGTTGTCATTTTATAATTTGGTTAGCTGATATGTACGGAGGCCCTTACCCCTAACCTCCACCAGATGTGTGTTCGGTCCGTCTCAGCTCCGTCAGTCCGGATCTCTCTGCAGCAGATATACGAGGCTTCTATTTCTGTCGGATGTCGGATCACGGCCATAGACTGTAAATATGAATGTTTGAAGGCTCTTTGGCCAGTCATGTGTTTGTGACTTCCTGTGTTCCTGGAGCCAGCCTCTAGTGGACACTCGACGAACTGCAGGAATATGCACTTCCGCACAGGCTTAATTTTTTCAGACCGGAGGTTGCCGCCTGAGCACAGCGCATCAGTTTACCACAGAGCAGATCGAGCGGGACGGGAAATCAGACATCGAAACAACATTAAAATTAAGCTCTCCCGCAGTGCTGATCCGTGCTGCACTCTGAGAACACAGCCTGTTGGTTTTGGAGCCGTACCGTATCTGGTGGAAGTTCTGCGTTGCATGAAATGCATCCATATATTTTAATTCCTCCGTTTTCCAGTTAGAACGAGAAACTTTGGTTGATTCAACTTTATTTTTTCATCTCTAAAGGCAGAACAGTTCATCTTTATTTTGAGTGTTTTGCTGCTTTTTCTCCTTACATTTCATCCGCAAACTTTTTTCCGCACTGAATGCATCAGGGGCCTCTAATCGAGAGCTGCCTTTATTTGTGCAGCAACACGAGGCAGGGCCTTCAATTTCGGTGGGCCTTTATTTGAAATTTTGCAATACCACGACTCGATGTCTTTTTTTTCTCTCTGATGTGACCCTCACTCTCCGTCATAATTCTGTTGTTGGGAACATTTTTTTCAAATTGTAAAATAAAAAATGAAAACCCGACGGCAGCGAGGTCTGACTGTGTCGCTCCTGGAGACGACTCTTAAAAATGTAAAATACTTTTTTTTCTTTCTTCTTTCTTGAAAGTTTCTGCCGGTTCTGAGAGATTAATCGACCGATTGAATAAAAACCTTATCTGTGACCTTGAGTCCTTCTTTCTCCTTCCTTTTGTCTCTGTCTCTAATAATTATTTCTTCTCCTTAAGCAGAAAAATTAGAGGCGATGAGGAAACTTTCCTCGTCCTGCTTCTTCTCCTTTTGTTCCGATCAAAGGTATCTGTGTCTCGTATCAATTATAGAGCCCGGAGCAGAGAGTTAATTTCCAGTAGCTAAACCCTCGCCGCTCCGTCTCTGCCTCCCGTTTTGTTCCACAGGTCTTCCACACCTCTGCACAATCTAATGAGAACCCTCGTTCAAATAATTACATTAGTAATCCCGGGGGAGAGCGGCTCATTTATTCACGGACGGCTTTTTTTGCTTTTGCCATTAACACAACTTGCTTTCATATACTCTTCTCTCTTTTCCTCACTCTGCCTCTCCAAACCTAAAAAAAGCTCCTTTTCTTTCCATTTCCACCCGCTCGCTCTCTCGCTCCTCTCTCGGCTTCCTCGTTTAATGATTCCCAGCTCTCCACTGCTCGTTTCTCTCCTCCCCCAGTACGACCTGTGCGTCTTGCTGCTGCAGCATTTTTCCCTCTAAATGAATGACAGACGTCTCCTTCATCTCCTCGTCATCCGTTTCACTTCACACGTCTCGTCTGGACAAAAAGATGCACCCAATGCTTCTTCCCCATCGTCTGCAGCTTCAATAAGCTACTTTATGGGATCGGCTTTGGGACAAAAAAAATCAGTGTCAAACACGCAGAACTACCATATCTTGCTCTGGTCAAGAGAAGGATATGGTTATCTCTCATCATTGGTCACCATCCTGGGGGTAAAAAGTGGACCCTCATCTAACCTTTGAATCAAACATAAAAGGCATCTTCTAAACCTCATTCTTCCATTTCAAACCTCCACCCCTCACTCTCCCTCCAAGACGCTGGAGAAACTCGTCCACGCCTTTGTCTCCTCCAGGCTCGACCGCTGCAACGCACGCGTCATCAGGATCCTGTCAAGAGTGTTCAGAAACTCCAGTACAGACAGAACAGCACCATCCTGCACGAGGATCAGGATCGAATATAAGGTCTCATCACTTACAAATGCAATGCAAACACGGCAGTGCTCCCCCCGGTCATCTCACAAACCTGCATAAGACACCTCCGCCACCAACCGCCCTCCAAACCCCCAGGAGGACTAAGCTCTCCTCTAAGAGGGACAGAGCCTTTTACTCTCTACTCTGCCGCCCCACGTCTATGGACTGCTCTCCCTGACCCCCCGAGGGCCCCACAGACTCTGGACTCCTTTAAAAGAAGGCCTGAAAACATTTCTCTCTAAAAGAACCTTTGACCTAAACCGCATGCTCTTAGATCTTGTTTGATGCTCCGCCTGATTTGACCTGTTTGACTTCAGTTTTTGTTTTTATGGTTTTATTCAAATTGTAGCACTTTGAGGTTTCCTTCTTGCATTATGAATAAAATGTATTATTATTATTATTATGTTCATCACAGGTGGAGGACAAAAAGAGGAACTCTAGAATCATTCATAAATCTCTCTTTATTTATTATGATTTTTATTTGCTTTTCACCAAACAATTCCTGAGTTGGATCAAAGAGGGCCGATGGGCACCAAGGAGGTGCGGTCCACCACACTGCCTGTGGAGGATGTACTTTCTCATACTGCGGATTAAAACAGCTTTCTATAAACGACATCACAGTCTCACCGTCAGAAAACCAGTTTTATTTATCACAACTTTTACAATTAAAAACTTCTGTGTTATTGCATGCATATTTGGCTACAGAAGTGTGGAGATTAATTTAACCCCGGAGGCCCCGTGTCCACTCAGTGTTTTTTTTTTCTGAGCACCAGTTTCTTTTTTAAATAGTTCCAGTGAGTAGAGAACATTCTCAGCAGAAAGAACAAGCGCAGCGCCCAGCGTCTATCTGGCGAGCGCTCAGCCTTTTTATGCGGCTGCCTCCGAGCGCTCAAGTTGAAAATCTTTCAGCTTTCCAGAAAGGCACTGTTGACGTCACCGGCGCTCTTTTCAATATAAGATATTCCTTATATTTTTGTCTCCTACAGATCGGTAAAGAAACGATCTCGCATATAAAACAGCGGCCGTTGTCAACAGACTGTTGTGACAAAGACCGGACGGACGTGCAGCACTTTTCTTCTCAGCACACAAAAGCTTCAAGCTGCTTTCTGCAACGTAAAACAAGCACTCGGTGGACACGTGGCCTGACAAACTTAAACTGGACATGTGAAGTCATTTCGAGGAGCTGGGTGTACAGAGAGGAAAGTCATTTTTCAGGGAATTTGTATTAAATTCAGAGAAGCCACTTTCAGGTGCTTCACATTAAGGGTTAAAGTTAACTCACAAACTCACACTGAATCTTAAATACTCTGAGTTAATGCCAAACGATGGACCTGGACGAGCCTCAAATGCCTCTTTCTTCTCATTCAGTTTGTCCTGAACTCTTGCTGCGGGTATCTGATCTGGTGTCAGTGCACAAACGTCCAGAGGAAGTTGTCGTAGCGGATCTTTCCTGTGGTGTCGGCGTCAAAAAAAGAGCTCAGGTGGAAGAACTCGTCCTCCGACAGATTCACGCTGAAGTGGCGCAGCACCTGCAGGGAGACAGGGCACTGTGAGTGTGTGTGCATGTATGAGTGTGTGTCCACGTGTGTTAGGTGGAGGTTTAAGAGATGTCACCGCTAACCAGGCTGCTAATTGTTTCCATCGATTGACTCGCTGAGCGCCGTCGTCGGTCAATCGTACGGCTGGAACAACAGAGCAGGAGTGTCAGCTGCTGCTCTCCTGGGTTAACATGTCAGCGCGGGCTTGTCTCAACCTTCAGCCTAATTGAATAATTAAAATTACTGATTGGCTGTCAGGTGTGTGTGGCTGTCAGGTGTGTGTGGCTGTCAGGTGTGTGTGTGTGTGTGTGTGTGTGTGTGTGTGTGTGTGTGTGTGTGTGTGTGTGTGTGTGTGTGTGTGTGTGTGTGTGTGTGTGTGTGTGTGTGTGTGTGTGTGTGTGTGTGTGTGTGTGTGTGTGTGTGTGTGTGTGTGTGTGTGTGTGTGTGTGTGTGTGTCTGCAGCTTTGTGAGCTTCAGCTTCCTTCAGACACTTTGATAAAAGAGACACAAACGTTTGCATCTATAATTCACAGAGAAGCCGTTTATCTTTGCATGACGGACATCCCTCGGGTGTGGAGTTCTGCATGGAGTCGTCGTTGCATCTGAACTCACCTTCCTGAAGTCCTGCACAGAGACGCTTCCTGTGCGGGCGCGGTCAGACGCCAGGAAGCAGCGCCTGATGGAGGTCCAAGAGGAGCGGACCACGTCGTAGATCCTCAGCATGACGTCAACGCAGGCTCTGCTCAGAACACCTCGACTCGTCTGAAAACAATCCGAGGATCCCGTCGAATGACGCCCAGAGACGAGGAATATGTGAGCATCGAAGGAGAACAAACCAAATAGATAAGATTAAATCTTTAACCTAACCGTAATTTCACCAGGTTTTTTTCTCTCTTTGAGATCAGAAATCTCTTTAACACATCACATAGATTCATCTCTCACATTTACATTTCGAAAAAATTATTCTCACATTTACCCCACACCGTGGAAAGTTTTCCTGTCCGATGAAGAGGGCGTCTCAAGAGGTAAGACATGACTTAAAAAGGCCGAGCCAAGATGGAGGATGAGCAACAGAGTCCAGCGCCATCAGTGGTTCTTGTAATTGGATGTAATCTCAGTTTAAGCAAAAGAGCAGAACACAATGAAGCTGTTTCAACAATTGAACGAAGTTGGAAAACGTACCGGTCCTATGAGTTGTTTTTTTTGGTTAGAGAGGCAGAGTGAGAAAAACCACAAAAGTGTGTAAAAGCCGTTTCTGCATTCAGAACTGTTTGCAGTTGAACAATCTGTTGTTGTTTTCGATCAAACAAATGCTGAAGTTGTGCACGAGTGTGAGCAGAAGTGGGTGTTACGCAGTAAGTGACAGTGTCATCGGCGTAGAAAAGAAAGCAGACTTTGGAAAATTCTGTCCAAGAGAATTTGGGTCACTAGAAGATGATGGATCTGAAAGCTGTCACGTTATCAATAAAACTTCGACAGCTGAGCCTCCGAACAAAGTGCTTTTTGTATTCTGATGAGGAGGTTTTGTCTTTAAACTCGTCCACAGACACCATCGAGTCCGATTCCATGCAGGGGGTCTCTACAAAATGTACGCAGATGGTGGGTTCGGTCGAGACAATGCAGGTCTTTGTGAATCCAAAAGTTGCTTTGGAAGGTTGCAGCTCGTGGGTTGCCAGATTAGGCCCTCACCCACTCGCTCCTCTGAAGCTTGGGGCTCGGCTTAGTCACTCAGCGGGGGGGTTCTTTTACTGTGTGCCCACCCGTGTGTCATTGTTCAAAAGCTTCATATACACCTTCACATGCCAAAAAGAAAAAGCACCGCAAAGCACCAAACTCGCCCATTTTTGCTTGTCATGGGAGGCGACAGTCGAGAGCCTGAGGGTGGGAGGTCCCCGCTGAGTTTACACAGTCTGGCAACCCGCCTTCGCCCATCACCTCCTCCTCATATTCCAGAGACACCAGCTCTCCAATTTACTGTAACCCACTTTTAAACTTACAGCCAATAACACTACAATGGATCAAACCTTACAGAGAGGAAAAGAGAGGGACTCGTTTGAGACGTGCTAATCTGCAGCTCAGCATGACAACGTGGAGCTGAAAGTACAAACCCTGAGTCCAAAATGTACGCTTAACTCCAACTGTGATGACTGTCTGCACACAAAAGGGTTTAATTAAAGTGTATTTTCAAATGTCTACATGCATCCTACGTCCATTGGTTTTCTCAATCCTGGACAGATATAGACAACGTGTAACAAGTCGATAAAAGCTGCTCTGCAGAGAATAGGAGACCCATGTGAACTTACAGGAGGCTTCTTGAGTAACCTCTCAGGAAGTGTTGTAGTACTCGAAATTGGTCTTCGTGTCTAGACCGGTCTTCAGACCACTTTCTGAAGATCTCGGTCTCGTCTCGGAATCCAAATCATTTTGTCTCGGTCTCAGACTGGGCGGACTCCAGATTTTAAATCAGGACAGGTCAAGACCATTCACTGAGAGGATATTTTTCCTCGTCATTCAACCCTTTCTCAAATAACTTCAATTAATTTGTAGTTTGATATTTATCCCCGGATACGGCCGCAACCTTCCCGGTGTTACGCTCTAAGTGAGTGACACACCCCCTGCACACAAGATGATGACTTTTGGTGATATTTATGGTCTTGGGCTTGTCTCAGTCTCGTCCTGCATTGGTCTTGGTCTTGTCTCGGTGCTGATCCCTGAATGTCTTGGTCTCGGAGCACTCTGGTCTCAGGTATGTTTTGGTCTCGGTTTGTGTGGTCTTGACTTTTAACATGACTCTCAGGCCCTGCTTACACCTGCTGTTTAAAAGTGTCCTGAACTCTCCAATCACAAGCGGGCAGCTTCAAAGTGAATGGAGGCCTCATTCTCATTTGTGGAAATGTTTTTCTACGTGTTGTCGTAATGGAAACGGTCACTGTTAAAGAAGACTCTTCCTACTCTCCCTCCTTCTACATCATCTGCCCCAAGTAATATTCAGCTGATGATCCAAGAAAGTTTTAGTCTCAAGTTGACACTTCGGTTTGTGGTTGGCCGCCCACCTCTCCCTCTTCATCTCTCTCTCTCTCTCTCTCCCTCCCTTATCAAGTCTGGATCACAATTTTTATTTTCATAAATTGTGTGAGAAGATTAGACCCCCCTCCCCCTCCTCCATTCTGCATGTGAACACCAGGTGTAACCAGTACCTAGCTCAGAAGGTTTTAAATCTTAACTCTGGGACTCTCTCATCTCGAGGTCTAAATCAAAGAGCAAACATGTTCTCCATAAGTAACACAATAAACTCTTTACTCTACATGTGTATTTCAGCTAATCTGTCTTTTCAAACATCTTCGATTGTTTGGAGGCACACTAACAGATTGCAGCAGTTTACTGTATCCCTCATTTGTTTACCTGTGTAGGTAGAGGGAGTTTACGCCGCTGAAAAGCCTTCATAGTCTCTTCTGGTTTCAGGTTGAGGAGGAAGTGACGCAGGAAGTCGTGGTATGAAACGCAGCCTTTAGTCATGACGTCGAGCTTCACAGCCAGGAGCTCAAACTGCGTCTGAGTGACAGTGATGCTGAGCGACTGGAGGATCTCTGAAACACAGTCAGTCGTTAATGTGAGCATTACCATCCTGCAGGTAGAAGTTCTAACTCTGTGTCTGAGGTGTTTCATCTCACTCAGGAAGCAGGAGGTGCTGATAAGTCCTTCGTTCTGAGGATCCTCCTCTCTGCAGCTCCTCTGGATCTCCTTCCAGCAGCGCTGCACCGCCGCACGGAGCCGCCGCTCCACGCCGCCCGCTGGGCTTCCTGTCCACGGCCTGCCCGCTGAGGCAGGACGCCTGGAGGAGAACTGGGGGGCAGACTGGGGGGGAGATCAGGAGAGGAGCTGTAAAACTACACTGAAGGAAAGTGTCATCTTTAATTAGAAGGGGTTTTGCACATCATGTTTTTGTCAGAAAATAATATCAAAAAGAGAAAGGGGCAAAACAAAATGCACTCCTGAAAAAAAAGCGACGCAGAAGTGGCAGACGAAGCAACAGAGTCCGCTATTTGCAGTTGTAATGTGTGCTCATTATAAAAGGACTCACAGTTTTAATAAATATGTTGACCAGGGAACTTAATTCGGGTTTGCTCAGATTAAACTCTCTTTTTCTTTTCGATACTTAGAATTCCTGCCTTTGCAACATTTTTCTTCCCCTCATAATGACCCGTTTAATTCTCTGTTTTTCAGACTTCCTAAAGTAAAACCTGAGCTGGTCTTGGTTTGGGAAGCAGCTGGTGTCCTCATGCATCACAGATCAAACTGCAGCATTCAGTTAAAAAAAAAAACAAAAAAAAAAACTGCACCGATGTTACCACACAGCTGTGCATCCAAAAACTGCGATCTGTCTTTTTGTGTTTCTGTACCCGAGTGCGCTGCAGAACGGCCCCTGCAGAGAGCGACCCTCTGGGCTCAGGGGAGGCCGATGGGACACGGGGGATGTTTGAACCGCTTCCTTCTGGGTGGAGCGTCATGCTGTGAGTACCAAAACGCTTCTGAAACTCCCTGTGCTGCAGCTTCTTCTCCTCATTCAGAGGCGTTTCACTCCACACAGGCTGCAGATGAACAGCAAGAAGACACATCAAACAACCGCCCCCGTAGAGAGTTAAACTCGGCACGTTCATCGGCTTTACAGATGAGTTACTTTCTCACGCAGTCAATAATTATCAGCAGTGATAAATTAGATTTTGATTGGAATAATTAAAGAAAACATTTCGAACCAAGAAGAATTGAAACCGGCAAATGTACCAACATTTCCTCTCCTCATTTGCAAGCATGAACCGATGCCAGTTTGTGTTGTTTCAGCTTGAAAGCACAGAGAGAGAGCTGCTGGAAGCCTGCTCGTTTGCTTTGAATTCTCTGAGTTATAGTGTTCTGCGGAATATCAGCAGACGTAAACACACATTTTCTGGCTTCACCTGATCGTCTGTCAGTCTCCGGCTGCGTCGATCACAAATCTGTCTGAGCTGCTCTTTGGAGACCGGGCCGCTCTGGGAAGAGTCCAGGTCCAGGTTGATTTTACACAGGTGATCAGAGACGACCTCCTGGCTCTGCTTCAGGCGGTCTGTGATGTCGGGGGTCTTAGTGTGAAAAGGGGGCTTGGTTTTAGTCCTACTCGAGCACCTCTCTGTTGTAACCTACGGCATGATGGAGGGAAACAGTTTAAAACACTAAAGCATGCTCTACAGTACGTAGAGCCGACACATGACACAGAAGTTCACACATGCTGTTTATGAGTCAGAGACAAAAATGAAGGACATCACTCATGTTCGTTGGGTTTAATCCTGGAGTAAGGAACAAGCGGGCTCAGTTAAACATAGAAGAAAACGTTTGCAAAGAAACTCCAGATGTTACGTCACAGAGCGCTGCATTAGGAAGCGTGAGCTGCTGCTGAAAGCTGCCGCACTGTCCCTCTGTAAATTATACTCTGATACATTAGCTCTTCTGTAAACCTATTCTCTTCCTCTGGTTGGTTGGATGGCGGTGGAGGTGGAGTAGCAGAGAGAACTCCCATGATTCCCCACCAGCCTCGACGTCTTCATTTGTTATTGTTTTGATTGAGAGCCCCCTGGTGGAGGAGTTTACATACTGTGACCGCAAGAGCGTGCGGCATGGGTTAACCTCTGACCTCTCTCTCTCTCTCTCTCTCTCTCTCTGGTTTCTGACTCTATCCACTGTCCTATCTCTAAAAGTAAAATAAACCTTAAAATACAAAAACACTTCCTACAACGCTGAACTAAAACCAGAGGTGTCTTTGTAAACGCCGTCTCTTACTGGTGGGCTCTTGGATTGAAACTTGTTGAGGAAGTCCTTCCAGTTAACCGTGCAGCTCTCGCCGTCCAGCTCCAGCGTGGTCAGGATGTGTCTGAACTGTTTGTCAGAGAGACGAGCACAGAAACTCTCCAGAACCTGACGGAACTCCAGAGCTGTGAGCGTCCCCGTCCGGCCCCGATCGAAGGCCGAGAACGCCTGAAGGACAGAACAAAAACGAAGGATCAGCTGAGACAGAAACTGAAAGCAAAACCAAACTTCTTTCATTTTTTTTATATTCACCTTAAACAGATTAGGAGCTGAGGCCATGACGAGATCGCGCATCCGAACCAGAGCGGCGCCGGGACTGAGGTCGTCCAAACACTCAATCTGACGCAGAGCATCAGGTGAGGAAGGAGGGCGCTCACTCTTCTTCTCTGATTTATTTTCAAACGCAGACAGGAAGTCGGTGGAAGAAAGCCTCTCACAGGCGTCATCCATGGAAACTTTGAGCCTGCAGAGAGAGAAGGTGGTGCACACAGACGATAATTCACCCTCAAATATAATAACTTAAAAACAAACATGAGGGGATGAACTTTCAGAAACACTTCCTCTATACCATCATGTCTCTGTGTTACATTACTGCTGAATCATTTCCATGCTTTCAACAAAACTATTTTAATAACGGCTCCATTATGATCACAGCAGGAGCGAAATGTTCCGTCTCTGAGCGGCACAGTTTGCTTTTTATCAAACCTCCTGATGTGAGAAGCTCATTCAGGAGAGTCAAACAACAGCATGTGTAATATTCAAACGTACATATCACACAATGTGCAGGGTCTTTAGTACAGGTTGTTCAGAAAACCAAAATCAATCAAATCTATATAGATTCATTTACATAATGAGCCAATGACTGAACTCTGACATTATTTGTTGTATCTTTTGTGTCTTTATTGATGCATGTATTTTGGTAGTGAAGAAACTAAGAACATTCTTTGTCTAATCAGGGACTCCAGCTATTTAAAGGCAGGGTTGGTAATTTTCGAAAACTAGCATGATTTTGAAGGCAGCATTCCCTCAGCGCTCCGTTTGAACCCGGTTTGCCCGCCTGTAGGACTATAGCCTCTGCACATAGGGCGTAACCTAACCGCTAGGCCATCAGCACCCCAACATACCTTATTTCTCCAAATCAAACCCTGAGATCTCTCTAGAAGGGACAACCTGTAAAATCAAAACATGTGATTTAAGAGACTGCGCACAAGAGTCTCTCCACTTACTCTGTATTTTTCAAAGAGGAGTCATCAGAGGTCGCTGGTCTCTTGTGGTCGCGTTGGGCTTTAGCTTGGTTCAGATTCTGGCCAGTCCTGAGTTCCCGTTCATGATGAAAGCCAAGCTTTTCCAGGAAGCCACAAACCGCGACACGGCCCCGCTGCTCTGGGTCATACCTGATGAAACAAAGTTCAGAAATCTGTGACTGCTACAGACAAACCCTCAGCAACTTTACTTCTAATCTTTTTAATATATGATACTGCTCGACTCAACTGGAACAGTTCTCATGAAAGCTCAGCACAAACTAAAGCGTTTCAGGTTTTCCACTGGTCTGTCTCTTAAATGCAAAATCCTGGAACATTTTGGGGAGCTGTGCACCAGTTAAACATAAAAATCTCGAAGAAATACATATAAATTGGTCAGTTGCTGGTGGGTTAAGGTCAATGGTCACACTGAGCTCTCTATAAAACAAACTGGCCAAAACTCAACAATTCATTTGGCAATTTGGAAACCTCGTCCCGCTACCCAGTGACGTTTTCTAGTCCTCCTGGGGGATCCGAGGCGTTCCCAGGCTGGTTGGGATGTATCCCTCCAGCACTTTCTGGGTCTTACCTGGGATCTCCTCAGAGTTGAGATTGCCCCGAAGACCTCCAAAGGGAGGCGACCCGGAGGCATCCCTAATCAGATGACCGAACCACCTCAACTGGCGTCTTTCGATGAGAAGGAGTAGCAGCTCTACTCTGAGCTCCTCCCCCTAACTCTAAGTCTCTCTGATCCCAGCCACCCTTTATGAGGAAGCTTATTAGAGCTCATTGTATCTGTGGTGGAATTCTTTTGGTTTCTACCCAAAGCTCATGACCATGAGGGGTGGAGGTTGGAAAGTTGATTGACTGGTAAATGGAAAGCTTCAAAATACTGCTGACGCTGCATAAATCCGTCTATCCAACTCGTTAGGAAAGAGCTCATTCATTGGTTAAAGATTGAAGATATAGGTGGCTTTGTATGCATACCATGGAGGTCCCATTCTCATCTATGCGATATCAATGACCAGAGGAAATGTTGTTAATTGTGAATCTTTGCTTTACTGTACCTCAACCAAAGACGGTCAAACTCCTCAGATGTGAGGGGAAGAGAATAAGTGAAGAGGAGTCTCCTCAGGCTGTCTTTATGGATCCAGCACTGACCGTCTGAGTCCGACTGACACAGAACCTGATCGTAAAACAGAGAGGAATGTTTATGAATCTTAACATGATGCAGAGTTCATCTCTTGTCTGTGCTTCCTGTAAGGTTTTCTGACCTTGGACACGTCTGTCCACCTGTATCGAGCTTCAGAAGACAGGAGTTCATGGAGCTGCTGCTGTCTGTCAGGAGAGACACAAACAGTAAAAAAAAAGAATCTTTCCTCTAAGTTAGTGAACATCTGTAATAACGACCGTATCAGACTCACACTCTCGCTGATGGTGTCTCTCGTTTCCGCTTGCCGTTATTTTCCACAACATCCACAAACTCTTTGTAGTTGAGGTTTCCTCCGGGATGCAGGCCGATCAGATCCAGCAGACGCTCGTACTCGTCCTCCCTGCAGAAAAACCCCAGACTGTCGTACAGCTTTTTAAAGTCGTGGCAGTCGACCACGCCTCTACGCCTCCTGTCCATCAGACGGAACGCTGCCAGGTTATCCTGATGGAAAGAGAACGATCAGAACAGAGATATCTTTTTGTTTAGTCATCGTCGTTTATTATTGCTGATCTACAATGGAGACATGCTGAGCAAAGTTAGCTGTTAGCTCAGTTAGCATCTTCAGTCTGGATTTGATTTATTTTTTATTTGTCAGACTTGACTCTGACCGGCAGCCAAATCAAATCATGTCAAATCCTCTAAAAGGTAAATTAGTTAATAATTCAGCTCTGAAATGCTTCCTGTGAACATCCTCCTCCTCACCCCGTGCATGGTCTTGATCCTGGTTTTCATGGCACCCAGGCACCGCTGGGCTGTAGTGAGCAGGAGGTCGACCTCGTCCTCCTCAACGCCCTGACCCTCGGCGCTCCGCCGCCCGCGTCTGACTGTGGCCTCTGCAGGGAAACAAACATTACAAATGAAGACTTTTGATGTTTGGCCTTTTAATTACTCCCATAATTAACCTGTGCTCCTCGATTCCCACTTCGTTGTGAGGGAATTAAACCCAACAAATTGGAGTTTTTGTTCTGTTTTGTGATTGTTTTTTTTGGCATGTTTTTGCCCTTCGTGTCTGACAAGCACACTGGGCATTTAACTGCCTGACCTGATTTACATTTAATTAGGAGCACACTTGTGTTCAGACTCATTTTGTATGCCTTGCAAACAGGACTAACTTTACGTCCCGGCTTTGTTTATGAATCTTTTTTTTTTTTTAGCTTTGTGTTTCTTTTTATTTTCTTGTAGAGGAGACAAATTAGGGCGATGCCCTGCTGCTCTGTTTTCTGCTTCCAAAGCACATAATTAGCCCAAACAAGCAGAAACGAGTGTGACTCTGAATGTGTGTGAGTCTCCGCTCCGCTAATGAGAGACGAAGACGCTCGCTCTGACTCTATTTATAATCCGGGAGGATTTCTCCTATGGCTCCCGTGCTAAAGAGAGACATTTTACAGGAAGTGGGGGGGGGGGGGGGGGTTTATGTTTGATCGCCGTGGGTGGGGTATGCGAGTTTGGATGCAGAGCAGATAGGAGTGGAGGAGGGACGGCCGCCTCTGTGGGAGTAGGAAGGGATTTTAAAAATCTGCGTTTAAGCATTTAGAGGCCCGTCACGCAGAACTGATGGGATTGAAGACGCTGCTGGTCAGATTGTTCCGGCTGCCATTCTTCTGTCTCACCCTCGTATTTCCGCAGGAATGACGAGCTCTCGATCCGTCCGCCTCTGAAGCCCAGCTGGTCGGTGAACTTGTTGAAATCTTTATCCTCCAATATGACAGAGATGTCCTCTAAAATCTGAGGGTGAGAAGGAGAGAAAAATTCAGGTTTCAAACTCTTCTTTACAGCACCGTGCTGCTCTTCAGGCTGGGTTGCGTTGACTTTCTGTTTCATATTACAAAACATAATCATCCTGCATCGTTCAGTGACCACAAATACAAGATTTAGGAAGCATCAATTACAAACAAGTAGGGTTGTCATGATACCACAATTGTGATCTCTGAGATGATACTGGTACAAATATAACAATACTGAGACCTGTTTTGATAGTTCTAGGCGCCCAGAATTGGAAAATGTCTTGTTTTTTAATATCTGTCTCCTCCTCTGCTCCGTCTCTTCCAAGGTTCAAAGGGTCAAATGTTCAAAGGACCACACGCAGACACTCACCTTCCTCAAGTCTCTCTTCGATAGTGTCCCATCTGAGCTGTGGCAGATGGTCTGGATTCTGTCGGTCAGTCTGCTCTCTCGTTGCTCTGACCTCGAGCTCATCTTCTGAAAAACTGCATCCAGTGAAGCGCACGGCCTGTGGAGCAGATTGTTTAAAGCTCAGTTACTGTGAATAAACGACGACGTGGCAGGGTCTGCAGTCAGAAGCTGTAGAGTTCAACAAGTCCGAGTCAAGAGTTGGCCGAGTCCGAGTCATGTTGATGTCAAACTTCAGAAAAATATGCATCAATTTGTCTCCATATGTGAAAAGTTTTCCTTCAGTAAGATAAATCAGAGTATCTGATGATCTATCAACAACGTGCTGCCAAACATTTAAGAACCCAAAATGGGTCTGAAACCGCTTCCACAGAGCCGGTGGAAGACGGTGATTAATAACAAGCTGCAGAAAGTATCTTTCTCATCGTCAATGGCAAAAATTCTCGATGAGTGATACACGTGACTGTTCAAATGTAGGCTAAGCTAGGCCAGGGGTTTCTGGGGACCCCCATTGTCCCTGGAGGTGGTAAAAACATGAAAGGTTCCATTCAGACGGACACAATATTGCCAAACATCGTAATATTATTTCAGTAATCTTTTGTAAGAAACACTAGAAGCAGAACACTGGTAATCTATTGAACTACTGTTTTGTATTTTCACAATAATGGATAAAATATCCAATTTTTTATTTTTTTCGGTTTTGGAAGGAATCTTTCCTCTCAGTGTCTCACGACCCCTAAGAGGATCCCAACCCCTACTTTGGGAACCACTGAGCTGGGCTAATTTTCTCCTTGCTCGAGATCTGCTTCAAAAGCATGAACACAGGAGTGATGTTAAGCTTCTCATGTGACTCGTCACCAAAGTAAATAAGCACATTTTGCAAACTCTTCCCCTCGGGGTCTAGAAAAATCTTGCTCTGTGAGATGTTTATTTTCAGACCGTCCTCCACTCGGTCTCTTGTCACTGGTGTTGAACAGTTTAGCGTCATCGTTTTATCTTCAGGCCATTTCTTATGTTTGCGGGCATATTCTGAGAATAAAAAGGACCCTCTACTATCTCTTTTCCCTTTGTGAGCTTCTGATAACTGCACTGCTCGTGTGTGTTTCTCACTTGTTGAGCTGTGTGTCTGAGATGTTCATGCCAGAGCAGCTTAATGCCATCTTCAGATCTTCCTGTGTGACGTTTCTAGAGCGCTGAGGGTCAAACAGCCTCAGAGCCTCGAGCACTGCACCGAGCTGCACACACAGTTTCTCCTGCAGCAGATCCTACACACACACACACACACACACACACACACACACACACACACACATGCGCGCAGAAATCAAACTGCATTAATAATTAACCTCTCCTTTTTCTTTTGATCCGATCCTCTGTGTTGTCTCTGTTTGATCAGCTGCTGTATGCTTTGTGTGATAAAGGTGATATTTGATCACAATACGTCGTGTTCTCACTGTTCTCTGTGAAGCAGACGCCACACACACTTCATCATCGCTCCGTGTGGTCTCTGGTTTCTCAGCCGAGGATTTCTGCTCCACCTGTGGAAAAAAAGAATCAACAAAAAAAGAAGTAATGAATGACCTAACATCCGATTTTAACACACAAACATTTGATAATAGTCTTAAAAGCCTACATCAGTTTCTTTCGTCTCCTTTGGGACTTCCTTGGTCTCTGCAGTGTTGGGATTGGCGGGCGGTGTAACTCTGTTGCCTGTTGGCGCAGGCGCGGCGTCGGTCGGGTTGAGTCGCTCCAGGTCGGCGAGCTGGATGATCCCGGTGTGTTCAGGGTCGAGCACGTTGAGCAGCTCTGTGATCTGTGAACGTCTGAGGCGAGTTTTGAAGATCCGAGCCTGGCTCTCGACTGGTCTCTCCAGTAAATGCCTCAGGTCTGCTCGAGTGACCCGAGCGGCCTCCTTCTGCACAGGAAAGAATGAGTTTGATTTCGATTTGAGCGAGCAGTTGTTGCAGCTGTTTCAGTCGAATCTGTTGCATTTACAAAGTTTGAAAGACACATTTCATTGAAGGCTCCAGTTGGCTTCAAATGGGTGGAAGTGGGTCGAAAACATGTTTTTCTTCCACATTATAATGCTTTCAAAATGTCCTTCTAACAGAGCCGTCGACAACATTTTACTCAGAGTGCAGGCTTACATGTAAACGATAAATGGACTTGAACTTTATTTTCTAGTCTTCTCAAAGCAGCGCTTTTACTCCGCAGGTCACACCTACACATTCACACACTGATGGTACAGGCTGCTGTGTAAAGTGACCATCAGGAGTAACTAATCCCATTCATACATATTCATACACCGCTGACAAAGCAGTGGGAGCAACTTGGGGTTAAATGTCTTGCCCAAGGACACATGGGAGACGACCAACTCTACTAACTGAGCCACAGCCGCCCTATTACCTACAGGAGGTGGGGATCGAACCCTCCAGGCTGAGAAACGAGGATTCTGCTCACTGAGCCACAGCCGCCCATGCGGTACCCGTACATACAGTGTTTTAGTTCAAATAGGGGATGGGGGTACGGAGGGGTATATACTCTATACAGCCACTCCCGAGTTAACATGATGGAGTTGACAACTGATCGTCAATGCCAACCGAGAGAGAGAGAGACAGAGAGAGGGGGAGAGAGAGGGAGTCATTGGAGACACACGTGGGGATGCGATGATGTGGCCAGGTGTGCCATGGACACATCGCTTACACCAGCTATTCAACCTTTCTGAAATCGAGCTCCCTCCTCGTCAAGGTTATGATACAGTGCACGGTTAAATCACGCTCTGTAATGAGAGCACTAATTATGGCCTGGCACCATGTTGCTATGTGTGTTAGATTGAGCATCATACACAAACAATGTGAATCACAGAAAGTCTGCAGAGCCCACCCCCCCCCGAGAGTCTAAAAACCAGAGTTGGCTTCGAACCTGCCGCAGTGAAAAAGCTCATTATTGGCTGGCGGTGTGAGGACTCTCTTGTTTGATCTCCCACCGCTGAGTAGATTATTAAAACAGTTGATGGAGGGATTTTTTTCCCCCCTCCCTCCCATGCCATTAAAAGGAGGAGATTCTGGCAGATAGAAACGTGTGATTCATATCTGGGAGAGGCTTCACACACACACACACACACTCGTACACACACACACACTTTGTCAAACTTGGAAGCTGTCTGTTGTTTTGTGAGTGGCGGCAGAAACATCAAACATTACGGAGAATTAATGGGAAATTCATCCCCCCCCCTCCGCCCCGCCCCCCCTTCGACCGAAGTTTAGTGAAACTCCAAAGTTTGACGCAGCTGAAGAAGACTGATTTGAAATTAAAGAGGCAGAACTGCATGCGGAGGCGTGTTGAAGGCGATCGCTGTCAGATGAACATATGGCTAGTGACTGAGTGGCTAACCAGTGGCCATATGCAATCATCTAATCGTGTTTATGGCCATCAAAAAGCTGCACATGATGATTGGCTCATCTGTAAAGCTGTCTGGCATTTTTATATTTTAAAGCACATACCTGAGCCTGTGCCTTTTTGTCTGCGAGCAATCTGCTGAGATGACTCCCCTGTGTCCTGTCTGATCACATTCAAAATCACTTCTGTCATGTGCTTTAACTACACTCTCCGCAACGCTGCGCAGAGAAGGGAGAGGTTTGAAGGGTGTCTCGTGCACAACGGGAGATTTTTCTAAATCCATTTTAGCGCTCGGTGATTTTACTTTACTTCTCGTTCTGACGCCTACCTGGTTCAAGAGAAGGAAGACCTCTTTGAGTTTGGGGTAAAAATCCTGGAAAGGGAACTCGTCTTCATCGTGGGCAGCCTGCTGTGAGACCCTGAGAGAGGATAGAAAGATGGAAATGTTTCCTAAAAACTGAAAAATGATGCTGTGTACTCCAGTTGTTTACGTGCTTCAATTGTTGCACCAAGTCTGCACCTCGATATTGGAGCTTTTTGTCTTTCAAAGCAGAAATATTTTCGCAATTTTGAAGAGCCTCGAGTCATTTACTGTAAAAGATGAACTGAACATTTCCACACTGAAGACAAAGACATGTCTTTTTTCAATTGTAGATATTATGATAATTTAAAGACACATATGATCCATAAACTGTTAATATGAATGTTTGAAGCCTGAGTGACGTCAGACATCTGCTCCTGCAAGGGGCGCTGGAGGCTCATCGGCAGAAGCCGCCATGATAAATCATGTCTCAGTCTAACTTTTAGTCAACCTAACGACAGGCTGAGAGCTGGAGCTGAGGCGGGTTTTAAGCCTCTTGATAAACCGCATGTCAGTCAGGTCAGCTAAGCGGCCAACTATGGATAACACGTTTGGTTCTTAAACTCAAAACGGATGCATTATTTAAAAAAAATACAGTTTAGGCTGGGAATCTTTGGGTGTCTCACGATTCGATTTCGATTCTTGGGGTCCTGATTTGATTCAGAATCTATTTTTGATTCAAAATGATTCTGGATTCATTGCTCCAAGAATTCAAAGTCTATTTTTGAATGAGTTCATACTCCAGTCGTCTGAGAGACTGGCTGAATTTCTTGTTCCTCCATTTAGCATTCTGCTGAGTGAAAGAGCTAGCCTTAGCACTTTTGGACATTTTTGGAGGTGATGAATCTATTTAAAATCTCAGAAAATAAGAATCTCAATTTTTACATCGATCCTTTTTTTTCCCACCTCTACCGTACAGTGTGTGCCGATCGAGACATGAGCTCATCAGACCTGTTTGTTTTTTTGAACCAGGCTGTAAACATGTTGATCTCTGCTGTAAAAACAGATTTTTTTTAAATCTGTGTGTATGTGATTCCTGTGCCAGCCTCTAGTGGACAGAGGCTGCAGAAGAACTGCAGGATTTTGCAGCATAACAGAACTTACACTCAAAGTAGGAGAAGAACTGTACTTTGGTTTTGTCCATTAAAGATAGGGTCAGCTACTTTTTCCTAAAAAATAAGATATGAACTCCTCAAATAAAGCCGTCCCTTCTGGGCCTCCGTACTTGTGTGGTGGTGATTGTGTCTGCAGAGACTCTGTCCTCTGACTGGATTTCACTGTTCTGCTTTGTTCTGGTTGACTCGGGACGTTTCTGGGCGGAGCTGGTGTGTTTCCTCCAGCCAATGACAGCGCAGCAGGTGAGTTTAGGAGCTTTTTATCCTGTTTCTCATAATGCATGTCTTTGGCGTCCTTGCAACACTTTTTTTTTTTAACCTTGTCAGCCACCGTACTCTTGAAACAAAATCCTCCTGGTCTGTTTTAGCTGAATCCACACCTCTGGAGCTTGAGATATAATTTCAAACTGACCGGTTGTTGTGAACATTTGTGTCCTCTTCTTCGTCTTCTTCTTTCACTGAGCTCATGAAGTGGCCCATGAAGTGTTTCCACCTCAGCGGCTCAGTTTCTCTCACTCCATATCTGCAAACACACACACACACACATAAATCCATACACACGCATGAAAAATGTATCACACAGAATAAATGAGAGCTGGATTTTAAGATTTAAGGAGCTGAGGGTAGGCAGGTGGAGGCCGACTGGGTGGGAAAGAGGGAAGAGAAGTATAAATGAGTAAAGTTTAGATTTCTCTACCGGCTGGTCAGCTTCTTGAAGGAGTGAAGGTTCATGGGAAATATGAAGCTGCTGAGAACGGCCCTGAGGACTTCCTGTGTAACCAGGCCGGAGCGGGTGTTGTCGAAGGCCTGCAGCGCCTGCCACACTGAGGTGGAGTTCACACACATCTGGAGAAAAAAGAAGATCACGTTCATATTTCGGGGGTAGACTCCTCTCCCGTTTTTTTTTCTGCTCCTCAATAATTCCAGGAAGTGAGTCATCCCTGCTTCCCCGTTGCCATGGAGAGCATCCCAAAGCAGCACAAGCCCCGCCTCTGCAGCCTCTCCCGCAAATTAGCAGTGATTAACACACTAACTCAGAAGCTGATTTTTCTGGGCAAACATTTTAATTAGAAGTGTTCCCTCTGCCGTTTGCATCCTGACGCGCCACTTAGAGCCAATTTAGCCCTCCGTCTTTAAAGAGGATAATGCATGGGAGAGGGCCAGATGGTGACACGCAAACAAGAGGAATAAAACACACAAAGTGACGCAGACGAGGCTTTACCTTGTCGTGGAACAGAGTCTGCAGCGTCCTGTGCGGCAGGACCGACGGATCTCCTGGCGTCCGCTTCTTGTGTTTAACGTGATCGGGGGGAGATTTCCCACGGCTGCACACCTCTGCAAGACAAAATCTGCTCAAACAACTCCTGACGTTTTTTTTAGGATTTACTTCACTAATAAGGCCTCAACAGGTTAAGATTTTGTGCAATCAAATCAGACATTTGAAACCTGAGTTTAAAAAAGAAATGGTGCAGATGTGTTGAACCCAGAGGATCATTTCTGATGAGCACTAACATGTTACAGATGTTTATCCAGGAACAGAGTCTCCATTTTATAGATTTACATAATTTCATTGATGGTAAATATGTTTATGAATGGAGAGCAATCCTGCGCATTCCAAATCCAGTATGTGTAGCCTTATTATTGAAGCTGCGTCGCTTAACAAGCTTCAAGTTAACCAGGGAAGTTTTTACTAAATTAGCTGTCAGTGTTTTTGTTGTCTGGCTGTATTTTTAGTTTATTGGACCAAGTTATCCTGCAGCAGCCTCTCCTGTGCTTTCACTACCCACGGCTCAAAAGTAGCCAACTGTGAGACGATGCCTTTGCAGTAAAAATCAAACATTAGCCGTTTTAATGACCTGTTTCACATTTATTCGAGCATTTATTTAGCTTAAGCATTGCTGTGCCTGAGTGCATGCTCAAAAACAACTCTGTAGATTTAGTCAAGAAAAAGAGTCCTGTGTACGTCTCACTTTGTGTCCCCTGCTGCTCCCTGTCAATCATTCCCTCTTAAGTCCACATTTTAATCCACTGTGCGCGTACCTAGCTTAGTGCAGATGGGAGAGATCTTGAAATTAAGGCTGTCACCGAAGCCCAGCGTCTCCAGGAACACTTCATAAGAAACGGTGGAGCCGTTGCTGGGACTGTAGTGACTCCACAACCTGAAAACAAGCAAACACATGTTTAGGAATAAAGTGGATACATCTGCAAGAGGGCGACCTTTAATGTCAGGAATATCCAAAGTTAAAGACGAGATGAGAAAAGAGGCCACACGTTGTGCTCTGCTTTACCTGCACACACACACACACACACACACACACACACACACACACACACACACACATAAAGACAGAGAGACAGAGAGAGTGTGTGTGTGTGTTACAGCGAGAGAGCGTCCTGAGCGCTGAAACCAATTAAAGCCATTGAAAATGAACCTGTCACACACAATCCTCCAGAGCCGCGTCAAAAAAAGTTGAGCGGCGTTTCTGGAGTGGATTTGACTGCAGGGCCCGAAGTTTTAAAAAGTCAATTAGCTCTCTCTCATCCTGACACAAAGGATGACCACGAAGCTGGAGCTGCTGATCTCGTCTTCACTGACAGACGATACACACCACGGGGGAATACAGGAAACAGTCTCATCCTCACTGGTTGGTTAATAATGAATGTGGCTGTGCAACATATAATTATATGCATACAAGTACAATGAGGATTTTTTTTTTTTTTTTTTTTTTAATCATTGTGCGCTTTTTAAGTCAGTACGTAGAACTCAGATGTATTTATATCCAGGGTGGATTCAATCCCCAGCTCCTGCAGCCACGTCTGATGTGACCTTGAGCCAAGTTGCTCCCTCTGCTTCGTTGGAGGTGTGTGATGTGTATAAATCAAGCGGCAAACCTCGGTGTTGAAAAAATAAAGCCGATGCTGAAGTGAAAAATCCTGCAGTTCCTCGAGTGTCCACTAGAGGCTGGTTGCAGAAGTACAGGAAGTCACATACACACCCATTCTAAAAAGCCTGTTTTTACAGCAGAGATTAACATGTTTACAGCCTGGTTCAATAAACCAAATAGGTCTGATTAGCTCGAGGAATGACTCATCTGTTTTGATCTTAGGATTTTAGAATTATTCACAATAAGGCGCATAGCTGACCTGATTGACAGTCAGTCGCGGTGTAGCGGTTTATCAAATGTGTGCTGTTTTTCCCTGACATTTGTCCTTATATCTCTCCTGATTTTGTCTACTCGTCACTTTTTATTTGGACAGATTTTCTAAGTTTGTAGGGCTGGCAAACTGAAACACAGCATTTGGCCTTGCACCGAGGCATGACATCAGAGAGGGAAAAATGGCCGCTCCTTGAAAACGGCGACTTTACCTGCAAGTGTTTTTGGACAGAGAAGTATGCTGAGCACCTGAACGTTTGTTAAACCCTTCAAGCATGTTTGGGTGCGTGGATTTTGCTCTACCCCACACCTGATTTGTGTTTTGTTTTCAAACTGCGTCATACATCCCTCTAACCCTCACCTCTGAAACTCTTTGTCCGTCAGGCGGACGCAGTAGTTGTCCAGGATGCGGCGGAACTCGTGCTGCTGGATGCGTCCTCCTCGGTTGAAGTCAAACAGGCGAAACACTCTGATCATGTTCTCCAGGTTGCCTCCGATCTGCAGGGTTCACACAACATGATTGACAGAAGCAGAAACAGAACACCTCAGCGCCGCCGGTGAACTCCTGAACCCACGACCGCCTCGTGAGGCTCGGCTCGGCTCACTGCAGCTTTCATCTCTGTGAACACGCTTATTGACACGACGGCCTTGATCTGTGAAAACCCGGGCCAGCTCCGCAAAGTGCTGACAAGTGATGAGGAGGGAGAGACAGGTGAGAGGAAGAGGAGGGAGAGCACTGAAGGGGGGTCGGTCAGTAAAACGCTCTATGAGAGATTCAGTATCCAACCAGGACGAGACCTAAAGCCGCCGAACGGTCTCTGAAAATCTTAAAATGTAAAATCCAATTCTTCTTTATCTTTATTCCTGGAAAACAAAATCTGTGTTGGTAAAAATAGCTTGCTAAAGTGTGTCATTACCAAATCCACATGACAACTTGACAGCTCATTACGTCGAGGGCTAATGAGAATGTTTGGAGTTTAAAAACGAGGTCATCGACCAAAAAAAAGCTTGAAAACAATTGTTTGAGAAGAGACGTTCTCAACTGGTCTGACCTCATGGATCCACCGCCAACTGCCTAATGAGAAATCACGACCCAAATTTAAGATGTTTTTTAACCAATCAGATTTATTTAATAAATAATATGAGTGCAGGTTGGACGCCAGGCGGTAAAAAAGATGACAGAACGATTAAACTGAACAAAAACATTTGTTCATAGATTGTCTCACACTTTATATGTCCAGGCACACATTCGCGACCCACTGAAAAAAAACCCTCGATTCCACCAGTTGAGAAGAACTATTTTAGATCAACATACGGGTCTGATTGTAACAACTGTATCAGCTCATATCAGCTCAGAGCGCGGCTAATACAACATTATTAATTACATTATTGTTGTTGAATTCTTTTTACTTACCAATGGTCATGCTAGCTTGATGCTAGCTCATCCAGCGTAGCTCAGACTGGAAGAACGTCATGTGACCTGTAGTTTAGTATGTTGCTAACTGCATGCTAACAGTCGGGTGAGTATGTAGCATGTATTGTTTAAGTATAGTAGGCAGTATGTTAGTGGTTTGGGACTCAGCCTCATTAAAATGATGTTTATGACTCCTTCTTTAAAGGCTGAGCTGCTCAGGCCGTATTAAAGGTTAACTACGGAGTCATCTGAAACTCTTCAACATTCATCGGGTAGATGACGTCAACAAAATGATGTTTCTCAATGTTTTCAGATCCTGTGATTTCCTTGTACATCTGCTACATGTAACAATGGATATGTACCTGAACAGTCTACAATGTTATTTGTTAAACTGTGATCATACAGCTGTAGATACATGCTGTGATGCCAAAATGCAGCGTTTGGTCGATGTGAAAAGTAAGACGGTTGTGTCTATGCCACAAGTTGTTTTGAAGAGCTGCACTTATCTTTCCCAGAAACGGCACCGATGTCCAAAGTTTCATGCTCTTCTGAAGATACCAGACCCCCAGATTGCTCATAACTGCTCCAAAAGTCTTTGCCTTTGGTGTGAGAGTGTTTGTGTGAACGTGTTTAGAAAAGCTCCTGGTGGGAAGGTTGACACCTTTAAAGGCAGCCTCCGCCACCAGTGGACCAGTGTGTGTGTGTGTGTGTGTGTGTGTGTGTGTGTGTGTGTGTGGGTGAATGTGGCATGAAGTGCAAGCGATATGAGTGGTCGAAAGACTTGAAAGGTGCTATAGAAGTGCAATCCGTGTACCGCTGTGGCTGCAAAGTTGCAGATAAAAGTTGTGCGGATCTCTCACATGCTTATACAAGAGTCACAAGTTTGGTATTTGTTGATACTAAGTGAAATGAGCGTCGAGAAAATCATCGAATGTGTCAAATCACAGCTCACGTTGAGCTATTTGTTGCTTTGAACGCCTGACCATCCATCTACACCGCCTCCTCGGACTTCTGTGCTGGATTAGAAAATCGCACTTTATGCACAGATCCTTCGGAAAAATGTAAATATTCTATTGTTTGGTAAGAAAACTTTATGTACTTTATGTTACTGATTGTACTCGGCTGCATTTAGTGCATGTTAAACTAGCCCTTCTTGGGGTGATGGTAGCCATAGTCCTTCAGACGGGCGGCCTTTGTTTGAGTCCAACCTGTGGCTCCATTCTCGCATGACATTCCTCGCTCTCTCTCTCTGATTTCTGACCTGTCCAACCTCTAAAAAACCCAGGAATAAACCTTTTAAAAAACGAGCCCTCCTTACACGCAGACCAACACGAGTCTAACTCAGACCAACACATCAAGCAGGATCAGAGCACTGAGGAGCAACCGAGACAAACGCATTCGATAGATGTGTACTTGGGAGCCCCCCCAGACTTGAGGAAAGCTTGAAAATGAGATCTTGGATCAGGCTGACACTGTCAGAGCTCAGACGCAGTCAGTCAGTCAGTCAGAGAGAGAGAGCGGCCGAGCCAAGTCGAGCCCGTCCTGCCTTCCAACGTCTGAGCCGTGCACCAGCTCGTCTCTGTAGCTCCGGGGCGACACGCGCTAACCACAGTGGAACAAGAGCAGAGATACTAAATATACCCCCAGTGACTCTTGGGTAATCAGAGTCTTCTGTCGCCCAGAGAAGTCTCCGTCTAATTGCACTCTGATTAGACGAGCTGCCAAGTGTCTCTGTGAGAGGCGTGGAGGGAGCCTCCCTCATGAGCTGCACTGACATTGTCTCTACAAAGACGCAAAATGGAGCAGATGGAGTAAAGACGGGTGAAAATATAGCAGATCCTGACCTCTGAAAAGACTTATTCCTGCAACACGCTGCACACAGTTTCCTTTTTTAGTTTTTCTTTGACTCACAAGGGGACGTTTGGGGTTCAGTACGGCTGCAAAACTTAAAAAAAAAAAAATCTCCACTTTTTGTAATCTAACAACTTTAGCTAGCGTGCCTTACAAGCATAACAATTAGCCCGGCGTTTGCACCACCTTTCATTCTGCCTCAGTCGGGGGGGGGGGGGGGGGGAAGAGGCTCGGCACAGCAGCTCCAGTGTTTAAAAAAAGATCAAATGAAAGTGAATTTATTAAAGACAGATAAAAATATGATTCTCTACCCCCCGTCCTGCTCCCTCCCACTCCAACTTAGAGGATTCTGTGCTAATTAGAAATGCGTTAAAATCACAAAGGAGGCAGAGAGGAGATCATACGGTATTAATGAACAGAGACAGAGGGATATCATCCAATCTCCATCTCTATCTCCATCTCATCTCTCCCTCCGCACACACACTCACTCCCCCTCTCCTTTTATCTGCCTTTGTTTCCTCCTCTTCTATATTCCCTCGCAAACTTTGTTTCCCTTTTTTCTCTCCTTCCTCTTTTGTCTTCAGCCCGTACCTCCCTCTGCCTTTTCTTAACTTTAAATTCTTTGATTATTTAGTTTTATCTCCAATCTCTCTCTCTCTCTCTCTCTCTCTCTCTCTCAGCTCCCCCGTCCTTCAGCAATGCCAGCGCTCCATTAGGCAGCTGTGTTCTGGTTGGCGTGGTTGGAGGCCTGGCGCTGTGCCGCGCTCGCACTGTCTCAGCAGCACTCGCCCATCCGTCTGCCCACCCAGCCCCTCGGTCCTTAATTAATGAAAGCTCTGTTGTTTTTGTTTACCGGCCTGTTATATGCTAATCCAGCGTGTCCTATGGTGTGTGTGTGTGTGTGTGTGTGTGTGTGTGTGTGTGTGTGTTTGCCTCTCAGCTGATTGTTACGAGATCAACGACCACAACCCAAAGTCACGTCCGATACTCATTACATCATCTTTGTTCCTCTAGTTACCTTTGTACATTTAATGATGAGAAACACATCTCCTGGATTTCTCTCTCTCTCTCTCTCTCTCTCTCTCTCTCTCTCTCTCTCTCTCTCTCTCTCTCTCCTCACAGCTTTGAAAATACACATTTCAAAGATTTAACAGTGGCCTCTCATTCCCAAACAGTGTAACTGTCAGTGCTAATGATCACAACACATTGAAATCATTTTAAAGGGACTATTTCTTCAATCAAAAGTAGTTCCATTGAAAGCTGTTTACATTGAGAATATTTGAGATCGTGTTCGTTGCTGTTAAAAATTTGAAGTCTCATATTTTTGTGTAGAGGGCTGGAAAGTTGATTCAGGTGCCCGGCTTCTAGTAGTATAAAAAAATCCAATGTTCAGATTTGGGGGCTATGACAACGCAAGGATGGACAAGAAATTATTTTGGTTGATTTAATCCGACACTGTCTCTTTTGTTTACATCAATCAATCATTTTTTATTTGTATAGCGTCAACTCATAACAAGTGTTATCTCGAGACACTTAACAAAAAGCAGGTAAAATACCTTACTCATTGTTATGTTACAAAAAGCAGGTAAAAGACCTTACTTATTGTTATGTTACAAAAAGCAGGTAAAATACCTTACTCATTGTTATGTTACAAAAAGCAGGTAAAAGACCTTACTCATTGTTATGTTATAAAAAGCAGGTAAAAAGACCTTACTCATTGTTATGTTACAAAGAGCAAGTAAAAAGACCTTACTCATTGTTATGTTACAAAGAGCAGGTAAAAAGACCTTACTTATTGCTATATAACAAAGACCCGGCCTATCCATCATGAGCACTTTTAGCAAAGCAGCAAAAGTTACAGTGGTAAGAAAAAACTGCCTTATTAAAAGGCAGAAATCTTCGGCCGGATCCCCGGCTCATGATGAAACAGCCTTCACAGGCCTAGACTGCGCTGTTTACATGAGAATAGTACGATGGTATTTCTTTTTAAGGAAGAGGAAACCGCCAAATTCAAAACTACCTGCCTACATGTGGACTCGGCCTATTTGTCATGTCCGTGAATGGAAAATGTTCACAGACTGACCCCATCGATCAGTACCTGGTAACATCACATCCTCTTTTTATTCCAAATCAAAGATGACGGTCTGAACTGTATTTTTTTTTTTTCTTCAGAGGAGAAAAGTTTGAAAGCTGCCGACAGCTGTGTTGATATTTAAAAGTCCAGAGAATCTTC